TTAATAGGCAAAATTATGTTGCCTCGCCAGTGGAAAAGGCAGGGACGTACATACACACAAACACAAAAGGCTTTGACTCAAACACGGCTCAAAGGCATAAATTATTGCGGTTAACTGGCTTGGCTGGAGCCGCAAAATGGAGCACGGAAGGCGTTGTCAGAGTCGGGACTGTCGAGGAAAAACCTAGAGTCACAGCCGGATGCTTGGCTTGAAGTCTCTTTCCATGATATTGTAATATGAAAAAAAGGCCTCTACCAAATAACTAGCAAGTCTCGAATGTTACTTAGCTCTCTTTTTGTAACATTTTTGCATTGTTTTTCAAGCTTCGTTTTTATATATTTTAACTCCCTGCTAAAGCTTGCCGAGATTTATGCCAAGAGTTTGAGTTTGTTTTCGCTAGGCTAGGCGTTTTTCAGGCAATTGCGTTTGAACTTCGATGATTAATGGCATATTTTCGAATATAGTTTATCCATAAAGTGTGCAAGTTGACACAAGAAATTCACTTTGGGGGAAATATAATTAAATTTTGGCTCTGATTTATGGCATTAACTATTTGGATAAAGGGTTTGTGACATTCTGTAAAGGCAGAAAGGGATTTATTTCTAGCAGATATTAACACCAAAATATTTATTTTTGAATGTTGTTCATCTTGGTAAGAGTAAACCACTTTAATGTTTATTCTATGAATTTCTAGTGGTTTTGCAATATTTTTCAACCAAATCCATTTCATTAAATACTTTTACATGTTCAACAAATTAAAATTACAATTTTACAAAGTTCAAATACCTTGGCTCTTGAGCTTTTTCATTGTCTTAATTAAGTTATCGTTGAAATGCCGTGAAAATACCTTGCATGGTCGAGATTAATTTAAATATTTGATAACATAAGCACGGCTAGCCATAGCCAACCTAGTCCGGAAGTTGATTACGCTTGCTTGTGGTTTATTACATCCATTTTAAGTGGACCTTAATGAAACAGTTTGCAAATATTTGCGCATATTGCAATTGGCCAAAAGTTTTGCAAAGTTAAATTTTCGAATTTGCTGTTAATTGAACGCTTGTCGATCCCAAAGCTGCCTTGTTTGCACTTCACATTTGTTGTGATTGCCGGGATGCAGGGAGCCAAACAAAAGGCAAATAAATGTGCAAACATGTGCGGGGCCACACACAGGCAAACAACACAGGACAAATGGATGGTTAAATGTGTCACTAATTACAAAATGGCCGGCTATCCATCAGGCGAACAGAGGAAAAATGTCCTTGCCAAATGGTCGATTGGGGGACACTTAATGGCGTTTAATATTCAGAAAAGGTTCTTAACAAGGCCAGCGGCGATATAATGTACTCAATTAAAATGCGAGCAAGACAAAGTATCCGTTTTACCCGGCGACTCTATCTGCGGCTGTGGCAATTTATGCGGCACCATGGCGTATACTTAATTTGACAAATGGCCAACAAAGCGCGGGCGTCTTTATAAACATATATATATTTAGCGGAGAATGCCATTTATTTACAACAAAATATATATATTTAACTCCTAATTAAAGTGGCATTTAAGTGCTATAGTTTTTTCATTGTGCGAATAAAGAAAATTTGCTTTATTTTGCTCAGTAAATAATATATGACAACATATTTGCGAGAATGATATATGCCTATTTCCCTTTTAAAACAATAAGTAATATATATATTTAGTAAATAAAAATGTAACAACCAAAACACATTTAATTGTCAATCGTGCATTTTTCAGTCCGCGATGTCATTAGCCTTGTCTAATGACGACCAAATTAAATGTTCTATTTCTCTGCCTGTTATTTAAATTACAGATGACTTTAATTATAGAGAGCCTGTGAATTATGCATAGCTTTTCATGGCTCATTTGCAATGCATTCACATTGAATTATGTCCGACACAAAGTGTGGCAACAAATCATATGCCACGAAACGAAATCGAATCAATTTTGCAAATCGAAATCACTAGCAGGCGCTGACAACATCACATCATGTCTGGCTGGAATAGCTTGACAAATGTTTGGATTGAATGCAAAATACAGGTGGAAATTCCGGGGCCCAACTCGAGCTGCATGTCTGGCTTAAAAAAACTTGAAGCATGCATCACAATGTGGGGGAAACTCTTCAATCTCATCTCTTCAATCGTCTGTCAATCCATCCGCCCTCCAAGTCAAGTGTTTGGCTGTCTGTCAAACAGTGATTGACGTGTGCGAGGCGTGTCAATAAACCGAGTCAGTCGAGTGCCGCAAAATTGCAAAGAAGCAACTCAAGAATGCCAACCAATTGACATTAGAAAAGGTAAAAGGGGTTCGTTGAGCAAATAAAGTTGATTGTTTGTAATCCTTCTAGAAAATGAAATCAAAGTTCATAAATGTCAAAGCAAGATTAAAGAAATAAAATGTCAGATATAATAAGTTCTTTTATTTGAAAAACTTTTAAATTGTATAGTACAAATTAACCGCATAACCATTTTAATGAATTACCTTCTGCAATATTAATCATTTGTAATTTCAACTTTTATTATATTTGTTTCCGAGTTTTCCCATTTCCCAACGCTGCTTATTTTTACCTCGCTGGCCCTCCGGCTGCAAGTGTTTAAAAATACATGGCGTATACACAATGTTGCTTCGGAGTTTGTTTATTGTGTCTGTAGTTATTTGACCCCGGGTCAGCTGTGCTGCTATATTTATGTGCCAAGCAGCGCTTAAAATTAAACTCTAATTATAATTAGGGGTGGCGAAGAAAAATAAAATCGAGTAGATTTATTTCCTGGGCGGGGCAAGTGCAATTAATTAAAAGGCAGACTACCGTTGATGGATGGCGAAACCACGGGGGGCGTATGTGTAATTTAAAATTAATTTTGCACTAAATGCGCGCCCCACCCGTCGATGGTTCGGAGGATTGGCGGTTCATGCCACATGCAATCGCTGTGCCACATTGCGTGTGTGCTTGTGTGCTGCACCGCGAAACCTTGAAAAGCATTTAAAATTCTTGCCACCTCTTTGCGTCCGTATTTTGACACGAATTTTTAATTGTCTAGTGGGAAATTGGAACATTCGGCAGGCATTTGCACTCTGCGGTTTTCTAAATAACTAAATATCTTTGGCCCGCAGCCGCATTTGTTGGGGTTTTGGTTCAAGTGGGTCTCATTGAGCCACTTCTATGGCTGCAGTTGTCCCACATTCACCGGCTCTCTTTTCCATTCCAATCGCAGCGTTGGGGGCAAAGTTTCTAGATATTATCGCTGACCATTGCCCCATGGGTCGGTCATTTGGTTCTCCTATGTACCTGGGGGCATCCCTCCATCACTCCATCGTTGCAGCATGTTGATTTATATTTATATTTGCTGTCCAAGTGTATCTCGGTGCGGCTCTAAACTGGGTTATGGGGTTGCCGGCGGGCCATAAATTGAATTACGGCTCACCAAATGGTCGAGAGTCGTAAGCGTAAATTATTGTCAATAAAGTTGGGCATTATGAACATTAAATGCAGAAGCATCCACAGGACTAATGCTGTGTTTTTGATTTTAAGTGATGTGACAAACTAGTTTAAACAAATAATCAATTGAAATTTAAATGTAAATTTAACAAACTTTAAAGATCAAACATTTAAGTGTAACAAGTCCTTAATAGCTTTTAAATTCTTAAAAGTTTATATGGAATAATCAAAATAATCAAAATCAAGTTTTAATTTAAATATGAATCACATAATAAATTCATATCAGAAATTGTGTTTTTAAAGGACTTTTAACTATCGGTTTTAATATTGATAAAATAATTGTTTAAACTATGTTTTTCTTCCCAAATAACTTTTAATAACGCAAAATAACTCTAAACAATTTTTAGTAAGTAAAAGTAAACATTTCTATAAAATAGTTTACTAAATCTAAATACTTGAACAAAAAACTTTCGATTTGTTTTCTATGATTTTTCGCCCTGTAAAAATAGACAGCGATTTTGATAGCATAAATATTTAAATAAATCTATCAGACAAATGAAAGCTGGTGAATATTTGTAGTCTGGCTCACCCACACACACACACGCTGAAATTTTTATAAAAAACAATCAATTGGCCGCTCAAATCCCATACACACACACACACACACACACAGAGACACTCAGAAGTACACACAGACCTATGAACGCACTTTTGTTTCTCTTTTGAATGGGCTATAAATGCCGGCTAAAGAAGCGCATAAAAAAACCCTGCCGATATGCTTCAAATGTAAGATAAACAAACCGGCAAAAAGATTTGCTAACTCACACAAATGCCCAGCACACACACACGCCTGACTCCCACTCACACACACTCACTCACATACATTTATAATGGAAAAGAGAATTTCCCACTCAACGCAAACTCACCAAATTTCCCTGAAAAAGAGCGAAGTTTAAATTAAGAGAGGTAGGTTTACTTCAGTTGGTCGAATTTATGCCTTTTTTAGCAAAGTTTGTTAGCGGTAAATTGGATATTCAGATTAGCTTTATTTTATATTTTCTAGTTACCGAGTTTAGTTATCTTTTTGGAAGAGGTTTAACAGGTTATTTTAAGTAGTAAAATGATTTACAACACTTCAAATAAAGGTAAAAGATACAAAATATATACACAATTTATAAATAGTCCAAAAATATTAAACAATTACTTTCTTTAACAGTTTCATATTTTGAATACTCAAATATATTATAGGAAAGGATTTTATTATATATTAAAAATATTTCCATAAAGATTGCTTTGAATTCTAAAAGTTGGAAATTACATTTCGTAAAAGATTAAAACAATAGTACTAAAACTTGTATTACAGAACATCGTTCATAGCTATGTGTAGTATCTTTATCTTCTGAAGTGCATACTTAAAATTTCTGTACAACCTTAAAAATTGTGTTAGAAAAACACATAATTCATAAACATATGTATATCCGCATGCTTATACCTCTACAAGTCTATAAAAGATCAGGAATTACACCTGCTAAGGTTATTTTTAACTCCATTCACTATGGATTTCCATAGCTCACACTTATTTCTAGTTTTAGTGATTGGCTTCACCTCGGCGAGAAGAGTTCCCTTTAAATATATTATTGAGGGCGCCAATGAATCCATTGAGAATGCCCCCTGGCAAGTATCCATTCATTATTTGGGAAGTCATATCTGTGGTGGATCCATTTATAGTTCAAGGATTATCCTAACTGCCGCTCATTGCCTAGTGGAATATTATCCCGAGAACTTGGGGGTTCGATTGGGTTCCAGTTATCACAATTATTATGGCAGCTTGGTTGGGGTTTCCCTGATAAGAACCCATGAGAAATACGATTCGAGCTCCTTGGACTACGATGTGGGACTGGTGGCTCTTGACAGCGAACTTGATTTCGAGGAAGTCTTTTCTATTCGGGCCATAAAACTTGCCAAGGAAATACCACCATCGGGATCCAGGACATCTGTGACCGGTTGGGGAATCACGGGATACGGAGAAACGGAAATTTTGCAGTCTCTAGAAACGCATATTGTGGATCTGGAACAATGTAAAATATCTTACAAAGATTATTTGATTACCGAAAATATGCTATGTACCTCAAATGTAAATTATGGAACCTGCCAAGGAGATTCTGGCGGAGCTTTGGTCTTTCAAGGCAACCAGATTGGCATCGTTTCCTGGGCTGAGGGCTGTGCAGACCCAGCTTTTCCCACAGTGTATGCCAGTGTACCAGCATTACGGAAATGGATTGTAGAAAATGCCAAAGATATAGAAGCAAATTAAACTAATTAAAAATATATATTACTTTGAGTGGTAATTGTTCCAGTTGTGTTTTGAAGCACACTTTTGCGGCAAGTGCTTATTGTTGCAGTTTCATTTTAAGTGCGTGGATAAATAATAGAAAAAACAACCTTTGGGGTCACCAAAATGGCTCTAAAAGAGCTCTTGACGACAACCCAAAAATAAAAACGAACAAGTAAAACAGGGACATACAAACACACGAGCAGGGAAAACAAAGCATAATAAATTGTGTTTTTCTTGCTGCCGTGGCTGCTGCACTTAATAATTATAATTTATGCCAGAGTCAACAATTGTGGGCTACCGAAAACCGAAGCACACGCAAAAGGTGCACATTATAAACTTGTTGTATATTGTTTTTCTACATAATTGCCACTAAAATGGGTTACCAAGTTAAGTTACTAGAGATGCACAAATATCTAAAAAAGAAAAAAGACCATGAAATTTCACCTGAGGTTTTGCCTGAATTTCCATTCCCTCTGGCGGAAAGATTAATTTTCCCGAGCGTGATGAAGTGTCTATGCAATTATCATCTAACAGATAGCTATCCTTTGGGCAGGTCCTGGCATTAACATGCTGTTGGTCCTTTTGCAATCGCGGCCTGTGAACTTCGGCGGCGGCTTTAAATTGATGGGCTTCAATAAATTTGGGTAACAAGATGTGTGTGTGTTGTGTCAATGTTGTGCGGATTCCCCGTGTGTATGTCTATGGGAGTGGCAACCGCAGCTCCTGCCTTTTGCAGCCACCACGAAACCAGTTGACACATGTTGCAGTTAACATGGCAAGTGGATGTGGCATCATTGAGAGAGAGGGGGGAACGACATGGCTTCAACTGCCAGTTCGGTGGACTCTGTTTGCGGTGCAAAGTGATTCGCCATTATAGCAGCACCCCAAAAACCCCATTTGGGCCACTGTCTTTGGCACTTTGATCATTTGCCATTTGCCTGTTTGCGTTTTAATTAACTTACACGGGCTTAACGAACACTACCCCTGTCTCTGCCCTGTCTCCCTTCCATCGCTTCGAGTTCAATCCCGGGGAGGCTGCTTATTAGCTCTTGACATGGTTAGGCCCTGGATATTTACGGGCCCATTCGCACTCGCAATTGTAGTTGTGGCCATTCGATCGGTTGGCCAACACCTTGGCCATCAGGCTTAGGCCACCTCGTAAGCTGCTTAGCCGCTGAGCTCTTGATTTCCAAATGAAGTCGGTCACTGCGGGGATTAGCACAATTGCGGAATGGTGCGAGTTCTACCATTAAATTCCTGAAATTAAACCACCTTTAATTTAGCCAGAAGAGAGAAAAGTAACAGAATTTAAGGTTACTAAATTCAGCAAGCATTATACTCTATATATAGTAACAATAACATAAATTAAAATGTCATTAAGAGCTGTTTTTGCCAACTTGCTGCCGGCCCAAACAATTTGGCAAGCTCATTTTTATAATTGAGCCAGAAAATTTATCCAAGCTCTGCCATTAACAGCAACTTTTCTCGTGAGTACAGAACGAATTATTACCCGGAATTTCCCCGCACACACACACACACGCTGACCCACAATTTATTTCAATTGTAGGCAGAACAATGAGGGAAAGAAATGAAATTTTCATTTAATTCATCAATTGAATTTGTATTTTTGGGGCGCCAGCGGAATTAATGGTTTGTCGTTTAATTTTCACGCAAATCCCCGCACACTGACGCACTTGAATAATAAATGGATACTCCAAAGATGTCATTTTTTCGACAGCTTTTCCCCATTGGCACGATGCGCCTTCGCGTCTGCCTGTCAAATATTTGATTTGGCCTTGGTCTAAGTTGGTGGAAATACTTTCCTTTCCGCTTTCCTCGTCCTTGAAGGCCGCCGCTGGCCACTTGAGCAGCATTCTCTAGCTCTCTCGAGTCGACGAGGGTTTCCCGGGCATAAAAAGCATTTCGATTAGACGGCATTTCTAGGCATTCGAGTGGAATTTTTGAGATTGGTGGACTCGAGATGGACTAGCCTAATTGGCCAGCTTATTAAAGCCATTGAACTTGAAGTTGGGCCAACTTTCGGCAGGGGAAACAGCTGCTGGCCGGAAAAGGAAAACTTTTTGCCCACTTGCGTTCAACTTTTAGCCCCATACATTTCCATATTAGGAGAGCAGCAGAAGTAGCAGCAGCAAGCTGTACAAACATAGTTGATCCAATTAACTAACTAAGAATCACTTAGGTTGAAAGTTTAGTCCAGGACTTCACTCAACACACACGCACAGCACTTCACATTGCTTTGAGGCATCAAAGTTATCCCTTTAAATGCTTACTCAATCAATTCTCGGAGTAGCTCGCAGGATGGCTTATCCTTGCACACTCCACACACTCGTTGTCATTGTCCTGCGAGGAGCTTTTGACGAGACAATTTGTATTCATTGCCACTTTAATATTTAGCGATGCGTAAGCCGGTGTCAGTCACTGCACGTTGAAGTGATTTTTTTCCCCAGCTGGCTTTCCATTTCTTTTTTTAGCATTATTTTGTACTCAATTTCTCTGTTTTATTTTGCATTTTTGCAGAGCTTCCGGTTGTTTGTTTGTCTGCGTTTTAAAGTGCAATAATTTGCATTGCAACTGACATGATATCACTTTGAAGTGCAGTACTTCCCACTGACACTCACCGACAATTGAGGAAACAAGCCCGTTAGTGGCACATGGCAGCAAAAACAATGTATTTAAATTGCCAGAGAGCTATTTGAATTAACACTTCCGAAAATGTAGGCAATAATTGGCGTTTGGTTTTTTTTTATCAGTTTCCAAATGAAATGGATGTTAAATTTAAAATAAATTTAAAGTAAATAACACAAGTAATCGGTTTGACTTGGAATTAAGTGTAGGCATTCGAATTAGATGAATAACATTTGTTTTTACACATAATTTATTTCCCCTAGAGATTCTATATTTACTTCTCAAGTTTAATAGTTGTTTAAAGTATATAATATTATTTTCACAATTAAAATTCCCCCTGTCCAGAACCAGAACATCAAAGCTTTGATCCCCGAATCCTTTGACAGGAGCCTCTCTCCTCTTTGCATTGCAACTCATTAAAAATGTTAACAGGGGGAGCAGCAACAAAGCCAAACAAATAGCAAAGGAGGTTGTACCGGTGAGAAGGTGGTGGAAAATCATGGAAAGATGCCATGGCAGATGAAGGAAAAGCGGAAAAATCCACGAATGAGTCAAGGTGAACACACTCTTTGGCCCAAAGATCCGCTTTGGCAAGCAAATGAAGCCCAGAAGACTGTCCCTCTTAACACCCAGCATCCAACATCCAACATCCAACATCCAACATCCAGACACCTTTCCTCGCCCCCACCTTGCAGGATGCACTTCCTCTAGACGCTTTCGCCTTGCTCCTTCTTTGTTTATTTGCTCGGTGCGTTTTCAGTTGACTGCCTTGCTTGTCGCGAGCTGGAAAAGCGGGGAGAAGAAAAGTCATGGGGCAAGTCGTGGTGAAAGGAAAAAGGAATGCAAGGGAGAATGCAATAAGTCAACGATTGGCGACAGGCTGCGCAAATGTGTGGCCTAGTGCGAAAAAAACGCGTGTGTACATATAAAAATGGGTTACCAGTGCAAGGCTGCCGAGGGCATATTACGTATACGTACGTTACGTATACGTACTACAATTGCCCAGCGTAATGGAAAGCCATAAAAGCGATTTATGGCAAGTGAAAGAAAGATGGCCACAGCGGACACAGTGGGGTGAATCAAGGTCAGTCCCGGGGGTGGAGAGAGTCTTAACCCCGAGACTCCTTCTTACAGTCGCAGGCGAACTAATTGCTCTCCTCATTAAGAGGAAAGTGCAGAGTCAATGCAGTGGAATGATAAGGTGGCAAAAGGCCTTCTTGAAAAACACCTCGAAATGGTTTAAAAAATAAAATAAAGCAGGGAACTTGTGACGACCAAGTTTAAGTTGTATTTCAATATTTTCCCAGGCAAGAAACATCAAATTGCTTATTATAATTACCTCGAAAAGGGTAATGCTAGGGTCGATCTATAGTTTCCTCTCTTGACTTGCCATCTTCTTTTCCGCCCGCTCATCGAAATCATTGATTGAGTTTTGGGATTTGTAGATATCATTAACTGTCCCACATGACATTTGTGTGTGTGTTTGTTTCCATGTCCCCGCCTGATTAGCCATTTATATTCACGTTCATGTAACCCTGGCCAACGAGCTCCATTGTGTCCTTTGGGGTTGGGCCGCAATTAATCGTTGAAAGGATTACACGCCCCCGGAGCAACTCGATGCGACTCTCGTCTGCGCACTTAAGTGATGCTAATTTATGGCCTTGGCACATCTTGTTTGTTTGCCATCTCCGATGAATGGGCTTTTCCCCAGGGACGTTCTTTTCCCTCCCCCCCAGAATTTTCCTCGTTTGCTGCTCGATGGGTTAGTCCGAGATTGTGAGCAGGAGTTTTTGCGGTAAGTTTTTAAGCCAAGATTAGGCGGCTTTGTTGCCGGTTGTGTCCACCCTTGTCTGTGACTTTGTTCGGTCACATTTCAATTCAGCAGATCTAGGGGAAGGGAAAAATATTGTCATTTGATTAATGATTGAGAAAAGTATAATAACTTCATACCTAGAATAAGAGTTATCTAAAGCTTACTTACTCTAATTAATACTAAAGTTAGTTGCAGAAAATGTAGGAATCTAATAATAGATTCCTCATCTTTCTGGCTAACTCAAAGACATTTAAACGGGTCAAAGGACACCAACAGATACAGATACATTTGCATGCCATCAATTTCATTTGATTGTTTTGTTGTTGTGGCTGCGACACCAAATTGCAACCGCATCCGAATCCAACCACCTAATCAGCGTGTGACTCGCACACTAATGAACTCCGGCCGCCAATTAGCCAATGGAAACGCCCCTTTGACCCCTGACCACGTAACCCACCTAACTCCATGCCATGGAATAACCACCTGTCCTCTTGATTGGATGGACAAGATGGCATGGAGGTCAGGCTGAACCAGGCTTTCTCCCGATGCCTATCGCTTTCCATTTAATGTCCTCAACTGTCATCAGTCAAAGGAGAGCCATGCTCTGCCACGATAGCCTTTCCTTTGAGTTATTCTTGGAATGTCCACGGTGTTTCATGGTGGTTCTCTTGGCGGTGGAATCGCGGGTTTGAGTGGGTTTCTGTGTCGATTTATTTTTGTTTAAAGATTTTCTGGGAATGTAACTAATTTTAACCATTTTGAATTGAATTAACGTGAATGGATTTATCTGCCTTCTTTGTAATTCAATAAAATATTAATTGCTGAAATATAGTTACAAGTAAAAAGAAAGTTTGGCAATATTAAAGAAGCTCAAGTAAGGTTCCAAGTAAATAAATTAATACTAAATAGTTTTAATGAAAATTCACTCATACTTAGGTCAAATTTACACCGGAAATTTCGGGACTTATACAACTGTCTGGTGTGTTACAAAACTCTGATGAGCTACAAATACAACTGCTAGATGAGCTATTCAAATAACTGTCTTGCGAGATATCCAAATGAATGCATTGATTTTGGTACGCGTTCTTTACCATCTCCCCTATATCTTTCAGTAGCAAATATGCTAAAATAAAAACTATAAAAGTGAAAATTAGTATATATTCCGTAAAGGCATTTCCAATAATTACCTGCAAGCAGGCAGACTATGATGATAAACATGCATTTAATTCCTCTTCTCCTGCATGTTTTCGATATCGAAGGTACTGCACACTTTGGACAGACAGGTTTCAGCCGATGACCTCTTTCCAAGATCATTTGCTTTAAACAAGGTGCCTCTGGACCACATTTGGTTAGGAAAAGTGGCTTGTTCTCCAGTTTAATGGGCAGGCACTTGGTGTATACCTGATCCCGGGAAACTGTCCGGAAAATGGCCAAGGGAGTTTCGCCATTAAAACTGTTATCGGGCTTGAAAAAAGACTGAATGTTTAAATAGTGATTATACTCCTGATCCTCGTCAAAGTCGAAGCACTGCAGGCAGATGCGGATTTCAATGGTGGCATAGGGTTCCACCTTCCCGGCATTTGGCTTCAAGCGATAGTGCCTATAAGCATTCGATCTGACCTTAACGATTAGGTTAATTAGTATTACTTATAAATTTAAATTCAACACTAATCACCTTGAATAAAACCACTAAATGGGTGGGATTCAGCAGAGTTACTGTTCGCCTCTGTGGACCATTGTATGGGGCATAGAATATCAGTTGTTGTGGACTCACGCTCAACAGCTCCATTCTCCCTTAGCAATTGATTTTGACTTTTGGCCGTCGGCTTCCCTTTTTTTCCTATTCCTCCCTCCCCGAAAACGGAAAGCAATCGAAATGTGTCGGAAATATGCCAGCAATCGGAATGTTTTTGACAGCATTTGCATATGCTGCCCATCGTTCCGAGGGCAATACATGTTTCTGCATTTATTGCCACCAGCTGGAGCACTCTTTATCCACATCCCACAGCCCACTGACAATGCCAAACCCCTTTCCCCATCCCGCAAAATGTTGCAACAGAATCGCTGACCAAAGCTGGAGGCATCATCACGCATTAGCATTAGGCACTGGTCATGTGGTGGGCAACGCTTTGAAATTATTTGCAATCCATTGCACTGGCCCCGGACTTTCCCTGGGATTTCGAAAACGGATGATGAACTCGGCTGTCCAATTGCGTTTTTGGGTCATTCATTTCCCCGTGGAGCAGGGAATCGGGCGAACAATTGATGATATACCACATGTGGCACACTGGATAAATGATGACATTGAGAGGGGTTTCGTATTGATTCCCTGCTGTTCACAAAGGGTATTTTTTATTACCCCCTTTCCAAGCCATATTTTAGCCTTTATTTAATGTTTCTTTTAGGACCATTGTGCATTAAAAACCACCCACCAGTTTGCCCTTTCGGGATTTCCATAAACATTTATTAACAACTAACTTTCACCTGTCAATCAAGTCTATTGTTTTCTAGGCTTCGCTCCTCCGTTTAACTCTATCCTCCTCCCATTTCCGCACCCTGTTTGCTGCTCCTCCATTATCCATTGACTATGTCATGGATTAGCTGTCCGTAGTTGACCATGCCGTGGGCATTGATCCTGCCCTCTAGTAATTCATTCACCTCGGCATCACTCATACAATCCTCGCAGCATGTAAGGATACGCCGGAGTCGGGCTGCAGGCAAATAACCGGAGTTGTCCACATCGTACAGCCGCAGGCTGGAAGTGAAGTCCAACTCCTGGGTCTGTTTCCTTCGTGCACTCGGCTTGGTTGCACATTTCCCAAGGCTGCTGTATATGGTCATTACCTCGTCGAAGGAGATGCGACGAATAGTGCCAGCCTCCAGTAGACGGATGTGCTTCTTAACCACCTTCTCGCTGGGATTAGCGCCCATTGCCCTGAGGCAGTCGCCCAAGGAGCTAATGGCGATCTTGTTGTCTCCCCGACTGTCGTGCTTTAGGAATATATCGTGCATTTCCAGGATGTGACTTCTCTGCGGCTTTGGACGCGGAGGCGGACCTGACCGGTTGCTGCTCCTCCGGCGATTGAAATCCGCTTTGGCTGATGAGGAATGAATGGATGAGGTGTAGCTGGTTGCTTTGAACATCTTGGAGCAGGCTTGAAACACGTCCATGGACACGGCCAAGTCTTACGGTTATGAAAATGGGATAAATGATGGCCAGCAATATTTGGTGGGTTTGCGATTGAAATTAAAGGACATACATGGCACTGGAAGGTATACGGAAACCGGATATGGGAAGACACTGAAATATGATTATGCCGGACATGCTGTGACAGGTGAAAGTAGAATGACTTGATCCAGGAATCTTAAAAGTGTCAAACCTTATAACATTTATTGTATTAAAATATTACAAACCCTATAATTTTATAGGTATATTGAATTATTTGAATACTTCTAAATGAACAGAGAGAGGGACTTAGAAACTGGAGACCACTTTAACGATCCAGTCCTTGAAGAAGGCCACATCAGCATAGATTCCCGGATAGTTGGAATCGGCGCAGCCATAGCCCCAAGAAACAATCCCAATGAGTTGGCCACTTTTAATATCGACCAAAGGACCTCCGGAGTCACCCTGGCAGCATCTCTTCCTGTTGCAGCGGCACATACATTATCCTTAGTGACAGCTTTCTTTTGAGAGGCCAGAGCCAGGGTACACTTGAGGTGATCCTCGATGACAACGTTCACACCTCGCAAGTAAATGCTCCCTGTGAGAAAGAATATTTCCTTCCCCAACCACTCACAATAGCTTCGGAACCGGGCTCCGGCTTCTTCTGGGCCAGAGGAATCGTCTTCACATCGTTCCCAGTTGTAGCGGAGTTTGTAGAAATAGAACGGCTATATCATAGGGATCAGATCCATAAACAAACTTGTACTTGTGGTGGGGTACGATCTTCGCAATTCCAACTTTCTGGCCCCCGAATATCCAGAGCGATGAGCCGGCGCGTACTGATAAGTCATTTGCATTTTTCTCTCTCATACAGTGGGCAGCAGTCAGGATGATCCGCTCGCTGTATATAGCTCCACCGCAGAATTGAAGTCCGTGGTGCAGGATGGCGACCTGCCAAGGTACCGTCGCAATGGACACTGGAAGTCCTCCCACAATCCGTTCTTCCGGTTCAGTAATCCTTTGAGCGGAAAGCAGGACAACTGCCGAAAGCAAAATCCAGCACTTTAAAAACATTTCTAGGCTAACTTTGTTTAAGGGTTTGTTTCTCCTCTGGTGACTTGAAATGCTATCTTCTTTTATATAGTTTGTGAAAAATATCAGTTGCCTTCTAATGGCTTTAAAAAGTATGCAAATAGTTACTTATAAGATAAGCTTAATGTTTCCATATCCTTGTAAGCTTTTGTATAGAAAGTTAATTATAAACGATTTTTTTATTTATTTTACCCAATAAATCATGTTCGAAAAATAGTTGTAGATAGTTATCTATATTGAATTTTGAAATGTTTAGGAATAATAAGAAATAATAGTTTGTTTGTATATATTTAAAAGATAAAACGGCTCCGTATCGGTCGTATTTCGGAAAATAATTAAATTTCCTCTCGTTTTTTGTAATTAACTAAAAATATTTAAATGAAATATTCTTATTAGAAAAGATAAGAATTCGTAAAGTTTTCTACTTTACTGAACCCTTAAATTTCTCCGATTTTTTGGCTCTATAAAAGGCTAGCTCTTCGACTCAGTTTACAACTCAACTTAAAATTCGAAATGTTGGAAAAGTACTTTATTATTCTCTGTGCAGCTGCTCTTCTGTCGGCAAAAAGGTTATCCGAACCGGAAGTACGTATCATTGGTGGAAATTACGTGCCCATCGAGAGTGTTCCTTGGCAAGTGGCTCTTCTGAATGAAACACATACTTGCGGAGGTTCCGTCTACAACGAGAGAGTTATCCTGACTGCTGCTCATTGTGTTGAAAACCGCAATCCTGCAGATCTCTCAGTTCGTGCTGGATCCTCTCTTAGGCACGCTGGAGGACAACATGTCGCGATCGACCATTTTATTCAGCATGAGGATTATAACGATACAACACTTGATAATGATATAGCTGTAATATTTCTGGCCTCTCCCCTTGAGCTGGGACCAACAGTGCAGCCCATTGAACTGGCTGAGAATACGCCACCACCAAATACAAATGTTTCGGTCACAGGATGGGGTCCTGCACGATAAACCGTTCGAATTTTACAAGGAAATTTTGCTGGGAACCAATCTTACCATCGTGGATCGCAATGTTTGCAATAAATCTTATACTGTTGGCATCAATTTTTCTATCGCAGAAAGCGCGATTTGTGCTCATGCCATTGGCCGCGGAGTTTGCCGAGGGGATTCAGGAGGACCAGTGGTTAATTGGCCGGAAACCGGAAACCCGAAACTAGTTGGCATCGTATCTGGGGTGCAGAGATGTGCTGGAGAACTTCCCGAGTTTATACTGACGTTGCAGCTCTGAGGAAATGGATTATTGATACTATTGAAAATATTTTCGTTCTTCCTAAATCTTTATATGAATTATTCTATATTCAATGTTTTATTCTTAATTGATTAATATTTTGATTCAAATATATATATCTTTTGGCAGCATAATTCATAACTTTAAATTTTGATTGCAAATTTAAATATATAAACGGCTTGGTTTCGGTTGGATTCTCTGGTCTTTGTATACCAAGATGAATTTATAAAGTATGTGTTTTCTAAGTCCAAGTTTATCAAATATCATAACTAAGCCAAAAATGCATTAATTTCAATTCGAAAAGCATTTCTGTGTTATTTTTTTAAGGGTTAACAAATTTGGATTCAATTTTTTGTGAAGTTTTGACAATTATCTTTATCTTTTTTGAAAAAATCTAACAAATTTCAAAATTATATTTTTCTGCGGGACATGTCTTAATCGATTTAATATAATATATAATATATGATCAATAATATATATGATTTATAGGGTAGCTTGTGACTAAATCATAATACCGTGCAAGAAGTTTATTTGAAGCTGTATTTATTATTTTTGTGTAATAACATTCTTCATTTCATGAGCTTTAAATTGCTTTTACTTCCTTCTTAAGCCAAGACAAGGTGAATAGATCTCTTTCGCGGGTCAAAATAGGTGCCAGAGTGTCCCAAATCAGTTGGTGATAGCTATTAAGCAACTTCACCTCCGCCTCGGACAAGAGCTCCTTCTTGATCATCTTCGTTTGCTTCGGGCACATGGTGACTGTTCTGAAGGTCAGAGCTCCAAGATTCTTAAAATTATATGCCGTTTGGGCGGGCACAATTTGGACGATGTCCTCGATACGGATGCCGAACTCATCGTCTTGGTAGAAGCCAGGCTCATTGGAGATGAACATATTCGCCTGCAAGCCGGGATCGTCGACATCATAACCTGAACCCACGCTCATGGGGCCCTCGTGTACATTGAGATAGTGACCAACGCCGTGGCCAGTACCATGACCATAGTTCAGTCCAACATCCCAAAGGGCCTTCCTTGCCAGGGTGTCCAGAACCTGACCCTTCACTAAGGCGGGAAATATAGCGGAACCAAGACTCAGCTGCCCCTTAAGGACACGAGTGTAGGCCTCCTTTCAAAGTCCGTGGGTTCACCGAAATGAAAGGTTCTCGTAACATCCGATGTGCCGTCCAAGTACTGAGCCCCCGAGTCGCACATGTAGATCTCCTTGTCGGTAATCCTCCTGTTAGTGTCGTTCCTGGGAGAATAGTGAGCCAGAGATGAATGCGGTCCAGAAGCACTGAGTGTCCCAAAGCTTGGGCCCACATAGTTTTCTTTTGATCTCCGAAAAGACTCTAGTTTTTCGGCGCCGGATATCTCGTCCACCTCATTGCCCAGCTTCAGTTGGTGTTCAAGCCAGGCAAAATACTGGCACAGAGCCACTCCATCACGGATGTGACTATTGACGAATCCCTGGGCCTCGACTTCGTTCTTAATCGCCTTCAGTAGGTTCACGGGCGTCAATGCCTGGATTCTTCGATCCTTGGGAATCAAGTCGGTTAGGTAATAGCTGCTGGTGGGAGATATCCAGATGTGAGACTTCTTCCTCAACACGATTTTACGAATCTCCAGGGAAATTTTGTCATAGGAGGAAAGCGTTATACTGACATTATTCCTCAGCTGATGATTATCAAAGTCAGCGGGGATTTTCGCCAAGTCCACAAAGAGCTGTACCTTCTTCTCGGTCACAATCAAGTAGGAGAAGAATACGGGGTTGTACTCAATGTCTGATCCTCGCAGGTTGAGCAGCCAAGCGATCTCATCCAGGGCACTGACCACCAGTGCGTCCACGCTCTTCTGCTTCATCTGCTGGCGCACATCTTCCAATTTCCTGGCTATAGTCACACCCGCGAACTGTAGGTCGAGAGTATTTATGGGATTGGCATTCTGGGCGGGTTGATCTTCGCCCCATACTTTGTCCACAAGGTTGTCCTTGATGGGCACCAGTTGGATTTCCGAGGAGATCAGTTCGCTTTCGATGGACTCCCAGGAGCGGAACGACATCAGATGGGGATCCACGCCCACTAAGCTGCCAGCGGTGAGGTTCTGAGCCAACCAGGTGCCAATGGAGGGAACGCCATTCAGCCCTTGCTTCATCAGTTCCCAGTTCTCGTCCAGCTGCTGCTCTGCCTGCAGGTGATACCGACTGTCGGCCCAAAGGAGGGCGGCATTGGTGGTCACCACTGCTATTCCTGCGGATCCATCGAATCCAGTGACAAAGGCACGCCGCTCGTCATGCCGACTCAGATACTCCGACTGATGGGCATCGTTGGAGGGCACTATATAAGCTGCTATACCCGTGGAGTTGCCCACTTGGACATTCTTCATGAGATCCCTCAACTGGACCAAGATCTGTGTAGTGTTCCTGGTGTGGCGTTCTCCTGGTTCGGGAATCTTATTCGCAGACAGAAGAACCGCTGCGGAGAGAAGAAAGAGGCATTTTATTAACATTTCGACCTTGTTGGGCTTCTGTATTCTTTTGGAATTATTCTTTAGACGTCTGAACTGGGCAGTGAACCACTCTTTTATGGCGACAGGAAAGCAATGCCAGCAGTCCATTAAGCGGCTCTATATATAGTTCTCATTGTAATCTAGCTAGCTTTATGGCTTCTTATCAGCTGGTTAATAACAAAGTACACAGAAAGAAAAAGGGTAGTCAAAAGATTGCAAATACGATAAGGAGTACCAGTACAATTTAATTACATTTTCAAGAACATTTTCACAGCTTTAAAAAGAGCCATTTCTATTTCTTAAGTGCTCCTGATGAGTGAATATGCAGATAATTAACTAATCTGAAATTAGTAGGTCGCATGCAGCCGATAACTTTAATTTATTATGGTATTTATTAATCAACAAATTTTACAAGAAAGTTAAGCTACCGAAAGGTAAATAGTCAACAACTTTAAATTAAAAAAAGAAGCTCACTCAGTTAAGATATTTAAATGAGCCTAAACCAGTTCAACGTGTTTATATGAGTTTTCAAGACGAGGACTAGAACTGCACTCAAAGAAACTGGCTAAACTGCTCTTTAAAGAACTAGAAAATTTAACAAGAATGTAGGAACAATGGCAAATAGTTTGTCATGTTAAATCATATCCTTAACTATTCCAGAATATTGATATTGATAGTTTCAAAAATCAGCAGCTCATAAATTCCTACTGATTTCATTTGTTGACATATTTTAATTGATTCAATTCAATTGAGCTCTATTTATTCAATCAGATATTTAATAAGATTTAAAGATAAGTCGCCTCGCAATAATGTCACAATCTTTTTACGCAATCAAATGAATCGTCCTCCTCCTCTTTGCTTTAAGGACTCGCTCATCTATACATTCCACTCACCCATTTCAACATCATTAGGGAGAAACTGCAGTTTGAATTCAGGATGAGATCCTGTTTCTAATCATTTTGCACATCGCATGAACGCATTTATGCAATTTGATGCTTATGTAATTATCTCGAACGAATAGTTTTGCACTGCACCAGTGGATAGATCGATTACCATCGATACTTTACTCAACACCCCCGTGCCCCCCATGAGAGTCCTTGTGATTCTGCTGAGTTATCAGTGCTGGTCCTGCTGCCTCCCTCTACCCCCTTTTGGTGCTCATAATGCACTTTGCATGTAAAATATTTAATTAAATGAAAAATAGCAAAACCCAATGGAGGACCCACCGGCTCCGCTTCCGCTCTTCGGTTACGACGTGTATCCTTACATGCTTGCATCCTGGCGAGGGCCGCACAAAAAAAGAAAAGTTTATTTGTTTCGCGGCTGCCTCAGTCAGTCTTCATTTATTGTAAATGAGTTTGCCAGGATGGAGGAGCGCAATGCTGCGGTACATGGGCCAAAGGATGCATATTGAATAAGACTGCTGCGAGCCGCACGCAGATGCCATTCCCAATTCAATTGCAATTCCCAATGCAAATAATTTGCAGCTGAATGCCATTAATGACGGAATGCCGGATGACGAAATCGAGACTATGGCGGCCTATGTATGTTAAAATAAAATACAACATTTTTATGTGCCGAACACTCGCTTTAATGCCACGTAATTGACTTTCGCAACAAATGAAATGAGTCGCGGCCCTGAATTAATATCTTTCCCGTGCGGTGGTTAATCCAATGCTAGTCGCTGGGTTTCTGGAGCACCATGATGAAGTAATCGTCCTGCGGACACAGCATCACCTCGTGGAGGAGCGTCCGCAGCCGCAGGAAGGTGAACTCATTGGTGGCATCCAGATCCTGGACCACCTGGCGTGCCTTCTCCCGCAACGTTTGCATCAGGGCCGCATAGTGCAGCGTCAGGTTGTACTCCAAGGTGGTCTTAATCGGTATACCATCGTTGTCCACGACGATTATACCGATTACGTTCTTAAAGCTCTGAAAGCGTTTCAGTAATTCCTCCACTTCGGCAGACATTTTTAATTGGATTTTTTATAATTTTTTTTTGTATTTTTATTTTTAATGTGTCAATGTGTCCTGTGTTGTTGTTCAATTTCACAAACATGAACTACAAATAAACTAAGTTTCAGGGCCTACCTTTAGACAATAGCTGCCTGTATTGATTTCCAATTAAATTGTGATAATAGTGCTCAGTGTGTTTGCCATAGTCTGCTGTCACTTGGATTGTTCATTTCATCTGCCAGTTTAACGAGTCGATACAAGTTTTATGATGCCCGGCATAATCCGGAGAACTTGTGCTGCCTTTCGACGTCGTTGTAGCCGTAAATAAGCATTCAAGTTGGCAACAATGCCGGATGTCGGGACTGGAAAACTTTTCGCTTTTGTGGATGGCACAAGTACGGAAAATTAATTGAATGCTGTTGATGCTGCCAATGCAGATGGCGATGCCCCCATTCTGCCCTCGCCCTTGGTCCACTCGAGATGCAGATGAAATGTGTTTGCATCAACTTTATTTTTGGGGGAAAGAGGTGGTGTTGTGCGATGCGGAAATTATGCCACTCTTCCGGCTCGACTCGGACTCCGGCGGACAAAAGCCGGCTCGGACCGCACCGGACTATGGCCAGACCCGGGCCGGGAGTTGTTATGAAAAAGAGTGTAAAATTGTTCACTTTTTAAATTAATTAAAAGTCTTAAAACTCATAATGAAATTACTCAAATGGGCAGACGAAAGCGCCAGACAGCCAGACAGCCAGGCAGCTGGACAGCTGGACAGGACGACAGGGATGGTCATAAATGGGATTCGGGGCTGTGCACTTTGCAAATTCCTGGCAGACTTGAGGGAAATTAAGCTTCTTTGCTCGACTTCTGGCTTGGCTGGAAGGGAAATTCATTTGGTAATTAAATCAATGTCCATGTGAAAAACCTCAAATGCAATTTGTCATTCAATGCCGGAGAAGTCAAAATGTGGAAAATACTCTCTACCTCTAACCTTGTTAGAGGTGAGGAAAAAAGGCTTTTCATTTTATTGCATTTTTGCTGAACAAATATTTGGCTTTACTTGCCGACCAACTGCAACATAACAAGCAAGGAAGCTGACTTTGGGAAGACGAAATTTATATACCCTATAGTATCAAGGGTTCGAATGTTTGAACTAATCATAACTAACCCATAAATGCATTAATTTCAATTTGGAGAGTGTATCTAAGCTGGTTTTTTAGGGCTAACAAAACTGCATACTATATTTTTACAACTTAAAAAATCCATTTTTTATCAAATTTTTGTCAATTTTAACGGTGTAACCCCTTATATTTTTTGAAAATTTTTAAAAAATTTCGATTCAGCTGTTGATTTTGATCAATTATATATGTATATGATTTACAGGGTCGGAAATGACTACTTCACTGCTTTGCAAGATACTAAATAAAATTATAACACCCGTAAAGGGTATTAAAATAATCCAAATAAGCGAATTGGAATGCAACAGGAGCCGGTGAGTCCTTGATCCTGTTTTAGATGTGCACATGAACTGAAATATTTACAAATGTTTTTCGCAATTTATACAACCTGCAAACACTCACATTTTATTAGTTGCAAAGTCATGGTGGAAAAACAAAACATTTTTCACTTTAGAATGCAATTTTGCAGCTCTGATGATGATTTATACAAATATTTTGGTAGTATTTGGAATGGGAATTGGAATGCGCTACATTTAATTTTATATTTATGTTTGGTTCGCTCCTTTTCTCTTATTCCTAATGTTTTTGTTAGATATTTATTTATAGTGGCATAATATTAATTAAGTTGTTTGATTAAATGTAACATATTGTTATTAAAAATGCCTTAATGGTTATTAAAGTCTGCGAAAGTAAATATATCGAATCTGACGGAATATTTCAATAATTTTTGACTCATGTAATGAATGTGTAATTAATTGCGAATTAATTGATTTTTTTTAAATAAATATGCTTTTGCATTTTTATCATTCATCTGTCCGGATTTCCTCTGTTTTGTCACCTCTCGATTCCTGCCCTGCGATTGCAGTGTTTAATGAATGATAATTTATTTATCATGGAATCATGGGGCATATTTACAAATTTCTGCAAATATTTCATCAATTCCGCACGGTGTTAATGATATCACAAGCCTCACCATTCAGACATTCCTCCAATTTGCCCAGAGAAGTCCTATTTAAAGTGGCAAATTCGAGTAAATAATTATGAGCCGGCCCAAGTTAACGAGAATCGGATTTAATTGCTAATTAGCAAGGAATACACGCACACATGCTCAGATTGTATTAGCAGCTACATTGTCCCTTCGTCCTGGCCAAATTTAAATTATGATTGAGCATTTGCTGTAGGTGTTTGTCTGTACGTGTCTGCTTTGTTCTTAATTCAATTATAATTAATGACGTGTGCGTAAGTCTAGAATTGTTAAAGGAAACGTGAATTACATTTATCTTCAGGGAGAAAATAGAACAATTTTGAAGAATGTTTCTTGTAAAATTATGTTAGAAAATAATCAATCGATACATTTGGAATTTATTATTATTTTGTATTTTAGTATTATGTTTATATTGGAATATATATTTTAAAATTTGTCTGGAATTTACTGAATCCTTTACAAAATACTCTCCGTTTACAGGCACCACATAGTAGACCTTGTATCCTTAATTCAAGTACCATTCCTTCTTGATTTAAATCTTTATTTTTATCGCAAATAAATTAGATTCTAAAAAAGGGGAAGTCTGTTTCGACAGGCGCAAATAATTTCCTTTGAGCAAGGATAATCATTAAAGGCGCACTTGAACCTCTTTTGAGAGTATCGTGGGGAAGTACACCTTAGTTAAGCGGGAATTCCACCTAAATTCTGAGTTGGATAAGACACGAAAATCGCTTCCTGCCGTCGCCTACATGGATCTGATTTAGAGGGACTTAGGATGAGTCCTTAAATAAAGACTCCCGGATACCGGCAAAGGTGTGACACTTTTCATTTAAGCAAAATGTGCCGGAGGTTACCATTTTAAATTAAATATTATCGCATGGGCCTCTGTGTGAGGAGCCTTCGGGCCGAGATAAATGCGTAAACACGATATCCCACTGGCTTCAAGGATGTCTCCCATCTGACTGCCAATGCTGCTCCTGGGCCTCCAAAAGTGTTTGTTTGTCTGCACCTGACGCCAACAGCGTCAGCACAACAAAGCTTTTTAGTATTTTATTACATTCCTCTGTTTGCATATATATACATATTCGAAACGAGTGTGTGAATAAGTGGGCGAGTGTGTTTATATATGCGTTTTTGGATGAGCCAGCAATGGCTTTTGAACCTATCTCATCTTGATAAATGAAATGAACATTTTGCTGCGCGAAATTCCTTGTAAATCTTGGGGAAAGGTTCAATAAAAACATTAAAAATAATATAATAAAATAAAATGTACGAATATTATTGGCTTATAAATAATAATTAAATTTTTAATGATTTAAGGAAGAAAAGAAAAGCAAGTTAGGCATGACTGTACTGTTTTCATTTTGATTACATTACCTTTAAAATTATTTCCTTTTAAAATTGCATCTTTCTTAGCCGTTTTTCTCTGGCTCTTTTATTCCTGTCAATTATGTATTAACCGTTTCTGGCGATTACAGGCCACTTTCCTTTCAGTGAGCCTTCCTTCACCACTCACTATTACTTAGCAGACGGACCCATAGCATTTGCTTATCAAAGTGCAAAACTTCTATCATATTTAACGGCAAAAAAAGGTCAACAAAAGAGTGAAATAGAAGAGAAGGAAAAACCTTGACATCACCTTTTTCAATCAACTAAAAAGTGTCTTGTTCGCCGCCCCAAAAACCCCACCACCATCATCGTCACCACTGACTCAATAAGCCCGGCATTTTATTTGCATTTTTTTCGTCACTTTCTCGGCGTCCGTCCCAGAGGCGGGCTGTCGTCATTTCTGCCGCTTCGTTGAGCTGCCAGCCGAGTTTTTCACTTTGTGCCCTCAACATTGGAGGCATCATCTTCAGCCAAGGGGGGGAGGGGGCAAGAGGGTGTGCTCCCGCCGCCGGGGTGGGTGGTGGCCAGTGGGTGGCAGCATCGGCGGCAGCAAATTCATCATCGTCTCAGCACGCGTCTGTCAGCCGCGCTAAGGATACAATAAATGTCTTTCGCGGTGGCCCATTCCGCAGATATCCTGTCCCTCTACCCCTGATGTGTCCTGATGGCCTTGCCTGTACGGAGAGAAAAATATATATACAAGTCTTAAATACCCTTTCTTATAAATACCTTTCATTGAAATTGTATGTTTATATCAATATCCCTATAGATTTTCAGGAAACAAACTCTAAGTCTACCTACAATAATCTTAACAATTATATATTTTTCTCTGTGTACTCTTGAGTCTGTCTGCTGCCAGGACACCCTATACCTGTGTGTATGTGTGTGTGTCTGTTAGGTCCTGAGTGAAATACTCTGTCGGATTAATATGCAGTAGCGCTTTGCATTTTTCATAGCCTTCTCTTTGGTTTGTATCGTCATTTTCCGTTGCTGTTGGTTTATTCATTTGGCTTTCCCGCTTTCCCTGCTTTCTTTTTTCATCCTTCCTATATATACACTCATATATATATATTTGTTTCTTCCGTTTTTTTTTGGTCTTGCCTCTTAGCCCAGAGGCTCAGGTGCACTTGGGGATAACAAATTAAACAACTTTATGCAAGTGAAGCTGAATAAATTGCGCCAGATCTCAGAGTATGGATTCACTCGAAATAAGTAGCTTTGTTTTCTATTTGAATAACAATATTTAATATGAAACACAAAAAAAGGGTTTGATGGATTACGCTGGAATATCAAAGAAGAATGGATATATTGTGGTGTTGGATTTGCTTGGTGCCTTTTTAATATTTATTTTATCATTTAATCACATTAAGTTATACGTGTAAGCTCTGTTAATTTAGCTTAAGCTTTAGTATCTTTGTTTTTGCCATAGAGCTTCCTGAAATCGGGAAACTCAACATAGCTGATGTTGCGCAGCTCGATGAAGGCCTCTTGGCCACCCAGTGGATGACGGGGCTCTTCCACTCCTTAAGCACATGATGGTACTTAGTGTCTTTGGTGTTGTTGCTGGTCATCACCTGTTTGTAGTTGTACCATAGGTAGATCACGCAGCGCAACTTGTAGATCCACAAGTGATTGGGAACACTGCGGATTAAATCCTGTAGCTTGGCCACTATCTCCATGGGCATGTTGCCCAAGATGGTGTGATTCATGAGGCCGTACACGACCCGCATGTTGCCCAGATAGTTGTTACGATTCTTGGTCAAAGCGATCGTAGCTTTGTTCAGCAAATCGACAAAGTTGAGAGTCCCACCCGGTGGCATAAAGTTATACATGACATTAAAATCCTCGAACTTGCCCAGTTCCTCATCGATGTCCAAGTTAATGCTGTGGAAATCCTTCCACCAACCATCCCAGTTGCGATACATTCGGCCGCGATAGACCTTGGTCAACTCCTTGGTGATCTCGTCACGGAAGCGGTTGAGGGAGAAACGCTTTCCAACCCCATCCTCAAACTCATTGACATCCACGGACTCAACATACACATGCTCCACGGCAGAACGTGCCTTGCCTTTCTTTGTGGAAATGCGATAAGTCGGAATTTTCTTTAAAAAACGACAAAGAAACGACTTCGCTTCTGACTGCGACAGGAGAGACCCACCGTTGGTGACAAATGGCAACTTGTAGCCTCCGATATGGAAGACTTTATCAAACATATCTGGAGCAGCAGAAGGACGGATGGGACCGCGGGGACTTGGATCGCGACGCCGCATTTCGGTCTCATCGACTGGGGTTTCAAAGACCTTCCATATATCCTCACGGAAACTTGGCTCCTGGCCGAGATCATTGAACGATTCCATGAAATCAGAGTCTCCACGACGAGCCTCGAAGCTGGGATAGCCACCAGAGGAGAAATTGCCTTGAGGTGGGGGATTGGAAAACTGTTCCATGGGGCGATGGAAATCATTGGGACTAAAGCGTTCAGATCCCAGATTAACATCATTGTTGTTGTACTCCGGCTCACAAACTCTTGGCGGGTGATCATTGAAGTCCATAAAAGCCTCAATATCGCGACGACGATATTGGGTATTCCAGTCCAGAATTTCCGGTGGTGGCGGCGGAAGTGGTTGCTGGAATAATCCGGGTCCATCGGAAATATTGTCATTCCACACACGCCGATCGTTCCGCCACTCGATAAAATCATTATCGAGGGAGCGTCTAACCACTCCGTATTACGTAATTCTCGCCCAAACGCTGCTTGATATTATTCCAGCAGATCTGGCTATAGCTCTGCCAGGGGTTAACTTTTGGAAAAAAGAAAAACACTTGGTTATTAGCACACACTAATCTCTTATCTAATGAAACTCACGCGCGAGGCTATAGGCGAAGGCATAACCGAATGCGAAGGCATTTTTTACAACGTTCTCAGTTTGGAAAACGAAATAAAATAAATGATCTTTGAGGAGCTCGTACAACCGTCTTCAGTCGAATTAAAGCGAAAAGAAAAATGTTTGTCTCTGCAGTTGACAAGCTGGAAAATCATGGCTGTTTCCTCTTACATTCAAATATATTTTTACTTTCTCGGAATAATTAAATAAGGTATCAAACCAAACTCTAAAAGGATAGTATGCATGGCTTTAAATCAAATACAAACCATCCATAGGCATTTTCATTTCAAAGCATTTCATTTCTTTGAAGCATCACGAACAAAATTTTGTATCTTTTGCCTGTAAATTTGTATAATTCTAGAAAGTGATTCGTATTTTCAAAAAGATCAGATAATGGAGACCGTTTACATATTTTCGATATTCGTATCAATCTTCTTTCACTGCATGGGTCTCTTCTACTGTCCTTTAGAGGCTTCCGCTGATAGCTTTGTGTTCATAGTTATGGCCCCAATGTTCCTGAACAAATTGAAGGTGAAGAACGGTCTGAAGAGCTCCCGAAATAGGCTGGACAAGATCACCGAGTGTGTGATCCTTTGTCTGTTGATGCAAGTCCTCCTTATTACGATTTGGTTCCCCATCCACCATGTAATCCAGATCCTGGTGGATTCAATATGCAATCAACATCGCAATGTTTTTCGATTCAAGTTAGTTGACCAGATCCAAGCATATGCAGCCTGTGTGGCCGTGCTGCCATGAATTGGGAGTGATCTCAGACATTCGAGATCGAGGATGTTCAGAGATTCTTTGGGTGTAAGGACGACTTGCTCTCGGAAAGCACCCTTGCAATTGTGGCACAACAGCAGAAGGTCGTACAGCGCAGAGAGATGAAAATGCGAAGAAAGTGATGATGAACGAGATTACAATTAAAGCGTAAATTATTATACTATTTGGCAAATATATATTTCGGACGATAACCAGTGGTAGTCAGAATCAGTCCCAAACCAATGTCTTTAAGATTTTATATATTTCACTTACTTTGCAACCTAACCTATTCCTCTTCATATTGTTTTTCAAGCTCTGCTCCATTGAACGTGATAAACTTGCAGTAATAATTTATTGCAATCACTCAACTCAACGGCCACGTCAATGGCGAATGGAAAAATCCAACAAAAACGAAGAGGAAAAAGGCGAAAGGGACTCTTGCAATATTTTAAATTGCATCCCAAAGGATGATAAAATGTGGAGGGCCAAACATACCAATAAAATGTGCCGCACATTCGACACACGTCGCGACAACGAATGGGCAAAAAATTGAAATAAATAAGATATAAAATGGTGGCACACCACCACCGAGGGGCAACAATTTATGCATCTCCGAGATATGTCCGCATATAGACGCAGACATATATATTTACGACTCCCCATTCGATGCGATAAGTGTGTTTATTTGAGCTTGCCCAATGCAATATTTACAATGCAGCGACACCAATCTCGGGGCATATCCGCGGGCACACGCGGCGTATGTGGAATGTCGCAAAATGGTGGCTAAATGTGAGGATGTAGCACAGAGGAACCGCCTTGTTTGCTGACTCAAACGACACTCGACCACGCCCCCAATGACTATGGGCGCAATTAAAGCAAACAGCCATTGGGAAATAATCTCGAGCGGCTCGTAAATTCCAAGCGGGCATTCCTGTGGGACACCCAAGGATGTCAAGGATGTGCCCCATACTCCCGATGCTCCATGCTCCACGCTCCGCAATCCTCCGCCATGTGGCATTCCCTCGGCTAGTCCTGCACGAAATCTGCGACGCCGGTGGAATGACTAAGCTGCCTTTCCTAATTCCTTCACTTGTTTGTTTACGCTGCCAGCGAATCCAAAGGATTCCCCCGTCCTGGCAAAGAAGTGGCCATCGCATGTGACGCTGGATCTGGGAGATGCTGAAGTGCCAGATGCTGCGAGAATGCCATGCAGAGGCAGCACCATTTGCATATTAATTAAATGTCAAAAGGGTAACGGCAGCAGGCACTTTGTGCCCGCTTCCAATTAAATTGACTTGCGATGCGGATGTAGATGAGGACGTGGGCTTCGTCCAATCAAGGTCAAGTGAAAGCACAAATACCGAGGAAAACTAAGAAAATTTATACAAAACATTCCGTTTTCTACTGCCTTTAATATCGTTTCAATATTAACCAACTTTCAACACAATCTGCTTTATTTCATGTAAAAACCAGGGAAAAAGAAGATTAATACACATTCGGCCATAAATACAATTGCAGTACTATGTATTACTGGCCAAAAATTAACAACCCTAACTGACATCACTCCTTTTTCCATTTCAGCTCGTTTCCCAGACCCAAAATGAAAATGCCATAACCCGCTTATGACGCACTGCTGACGGACCAGAAGCCAAAAAAGGATGAGGATGAGCCTAGCTGAAGGCAGATGGGGATGGGTATGGGATTGTGATGTGGATTGCGATGAGGATTCAGAATGACAACGACAAGTGACATTGGCCAAAGAGGTTTCACTTTTCCTGTGTCGAAGCCCAAAACCAAAAACTGGTTTGTCCAATTCTAATTGGCAGCTGCACACGGAACAATTGAAAGTCTGGCGCACATATATAGTAGTTTCCCAATTTTCCGGTTTCCCAGGTAAATGTGTACTGCAAAATATGATTACCAAAACTGTTACTACCATCTTTCCTTTGATGTCTCATTTCAGTTAATGTATGTTCTTCGGTTAAATTCAACAACTAATCATCATCCCAGCTCGGGGTGCCACGCAGCTCAGATGTCAATTAAGTGATGAAAATTCCGTATTTGCCCGCAAGAGACAGTGAGTCTAACCCCATTTTCCCTAGTCCTAGTGTCTCTGGTTTCTGGTAATTTGCCAGGCAAATGTCTGTCGGAGTCAAAAGCCAAAACTTGGCAACCGCAGAGGAGCGGCAACTCGAGCAGCTGTCAAAACCTATAGACGATATGAAGTGGATACATCACTGCCTTCGAGTCCTGGCAAGAGTGTGGGCGAGGGCTGAGTGGATACAGGATATGGATATGGAGTGATAAGGACACAGTGGAAGCAAGTAATGGCAAAAGGATTTTGTGCAGATGAATCCTGACTGCATTCCACACATGCTGCGGCACGAAAGATATGCAAATCTTTTGCGTAGCTGGAAATGTCAAGTGAAAACTGGGAGCAGGAAATTAGCACGCAAATTACGACAAAACCAAAGTCAGAATTGGTGTAAATATATGTATATTATACTGCAGGGTGTTGAATTAGGATAATAGGTTTCGACCTGCTTTTCTTGCAGTGCGATTACTTATTTTAATATATCCGAAACCCTTGTCAAATTGCTTTATTTCTGTTGAAATTTCCCACTTCCAGGCTTTAATTTAGCATTTCCTCGACTGCCAGCAAATCCTGTTACTCAGCTTGAGCGGCATTTTACGCTTCAACGCCTTTTCGCAAAAATTCCTTAGCATTTCGGGGGCTGCACTTAAAACGATTTTCAATCGCCAGTCGAGCGCAAATAAGTCAAGAGAGTGACCTTTCGACTGAACTTGAATAAATCGCATAATGGCATTATGGCCCAGAGCAGCGGTCCGAAAAAGGGGTTTACTGCCAATTGTGCACTTTTAGTACCGCTCAATATAAAAAATTCGCCCCACTTGACTCACTCAACCCACCCACAAAAGTATGCTAACACGTGGCAAAATGTTTTTGTGGAAAATCAATTATCAGCAAATTTATTTAATGCATAACACCCGGGATGGCCGTTGTGACCACCACAAACAAGAACAAAAAAAAAAGTTATATTGGCCAAAATAAATACGCTTTACACGCACAATTAGCGATACTCCGGGGCAAACGCAAAAGCGACCAGAAAAGCCATTGGAAATTAATCGAAATCAATGGCAATTTTCCGCGGTATTTTCGGTTGATTTTCCACTGAAAAGTTTTGTGTGTCGCCCCAATAACCGAAATTTGATGTCGACAATGCTAAACCGCAGATGCATGCTGTGTGATGCAACATAAATGTGTATCAATAGAGCCATTATCATGCTAATGGCAAATTCTTTCGCTCGACCATAAACCAAAATAAACTATTTTGACTTTGAGACATAATGTATGTACATAGGTGCTCTACCTGAACTTGAATTGGCAAATCAATTTAACATATAAACGCCTACGAGAGCGAACCAGAAACTTTTCAACTACCAGAGGGCTCAAGCACATTTAATTTAGCATAAGAGCCAAGTTTAGAAGTTTCGCAGGCAGCAAGTATTCAGGAAGCCACATTTTGTTTGCGTCCCTACCCCCTGGAAATTTCGAAATTCAGCCAGACCGACTTGATGAACTGTAAATGAACTTTGTGTTTGAATTCGATTTAGTTTTATTGCAACATGCTTGAACAGCACTCCATCCAGGACTCGCCTCGGACAGGACTCCGACATGTGTTTGGCAAGAGAGAGAGAGAGAGAGAGTGTGAGTATCCTGCCTGAGTTGAGTACCAAAAGTTGTGGCATTAAATAGCAGCAGCTCCAATTTGTGGCCGATGATACGTCCAATGTACACATAATATGCAGCTTACAGGAATGGGAATGCAATATTGGTTTGTTCGACAATGTAGAGAGTATTTCTAAGCCTAGAACACATAATCCAAGGACTTGTCTGAAGGTTTTAACTGAGTAAAGTCAGACATAAAACGAAACATGGTGTGTAGTTTTATTTTCATAGTCAGTATTTTTTAGAGCCAACTTTTATATTTTTTCTTTGAAGTTAAAGAAGTTAAGAAAGCTTTTACTAGCAGTTTTTTTTAATATTTTAATATTGCTTTTAATTTCTACAGCTACAAACTACTCATAGCTCCACACATTTCTTTTTAAAGTTACCTTTTAAATGCCACACTGCGTATGCGTGATATACCTCAATAAAGCCATCAGAATGAAATCACAAAACGCAAACAGCTGTCATTGGCAGCAGTCATGAGAATTAAATGACGCACACCGGTTTTGCATTATGTGCTTTTATAAATTTCCCACTTAATATGCACGACAATCAAACCGATTTTCACACAACCGACAAATGAAGACAGACGAGCTGACAATTAATCCAGCAATCGGTTGGCAATTTTATTTCCCCTCCGAAACTATATACACACATAATTCGTATAGAACTTATCGGTCAAAAGCAGACCCCCAGCTTTATCCGCATCAACTTCAGTTTTTATTTACATATCCATTAAGTCAACACTGTGCGAAAGGAGCCGGCAAGGAAAAGTCCTTCTTCAGCAAAAAAAGAACATTAAAAAAAGCAGCGAAAAAACGAGGTGGAAAATTTACTGAAACAAAGTAAACACGATTTGCAATTTGGTATAAAATTTCCACTGCGACCGCTGCACAAATTGCTAATTCGCTGAAAACTTCGAGTTGACACAAGAATTTGTGTGAATACATTTTTTATGCGCCTCCTCTGGACGCTGCCATGAAAGTCATTGAAAAGAGAGGGGAATATTTAAATAAAAAGAGATAGCAAGTGCTAAGTCAACAACTAGGGAAACTCCAAGTGCGGCTGAATTTTCACTAGATGACTTTTACTTTTCTTTAGGGTACATTGACTTATTTATTGAACTTTAAGAGAGGTATTCCTTTAAGTATATAATTTTCTCTCAAATAAATATATTTGTTTTTAATAATTTTTAAATAATATTCACAAAAAATTCCCTAAGTTGTGCATGCAGAATTATTCT